ATTCTCCGACTGTGGTACATGAACTATTAGACTTGAGGCACATGACCTTGTTTCCTGTGGTACTCAGAGACGTTACAAGTATTCAATCGCATATACAGATATCCAGTCCGAATGACAAAATATCTACATATAAATTAAATGGTACAGCTGTTTAACATTTTGAGAACCTCTGCCACTGAACTTGATAAATGGATCGCAGTCATCCTAGTTAAGATGATTCCTTCACAAGTGGCTAATTTAAAATACCATGTCTGTGAATACAAGTTACTAAGTCAGCCATCAACATTCACTATGCATTCCTGTGCACAATAGCATTCTTCACTGACCACAGATGCCCATTGTAATGTAAAAGCAAAAGGACGAATCAATAACAATTGTAAGAAGCCAACAATATCATACCATAACTAACATACCGAAACAAGTTGATTCATATAAAAAAAAAAGCATGTCATATCAGATGTCGCGTAACTAAGAGTATACTGATTCTAAGATTATTTAGAACAACTTAAAGAACATTCAAGCTCCAACTGGATAATAGCATCGTTCACCTTCCAGAAGTGCCTTTCAATTGTTTTATATCAACTTAACATTTTTCATTACGCAATAATTTTGAGGCCCACTTATCTGACCCCCATGCCTGAAAACCAGCTGAGAGATAAATCTACTTACATCCTTACTGAAAACATACATCATATATTTATTTTATGGGCCCACATTTTTCTAGCCATGCTGATTTCAGAGTTCTGTTATGCTGTTTGAGGAGCACTGCACTGGTGACAAATATAAACTTCTTTAGAGAGAAAGCATTGGGATGGGATCATGAAAGTTATTTATTTGTAGGACATGATAACCATGTGTGATAACCTCTGAGATTAACACCATTTCTAATGAAGAGCTTATCCCACAATGCACCTGAAAACTTGGGACATGTTAAGGCAGGAACATGTTTTGTTCTAACCTGATTTCTAAGGTCAGAGTTCAATGATCCGTTGAGGGGCCAGTTGATAAAAGGGCTTCTATAAAACGTATTAATGTTAAGAACTTTAAAATTTAAATTTCAACAAAAGAAAGAATGGCACCTTATAAGATACTGATATGTAAAGATTCCATTTAATAAGTTTTTGTGACTTCACTTTTGTTCACAGCAGTATAACTTTTATTTATAACAGCAAATAATGATAAAAACCAAAATATTTTTCACATAGAGTAAGATGCAGCAAACTTACTTTACAAAAGTTAAGAATTGGTCAAAGAACAGTTTTAACACATTATATTTACTAGAAAACACAATGCAAGACCTGTTGGACTTTCCAAGTGAGCCGGTGGCATAGCTAGGGTTAGTGCTGCCCAGAGCGGCCCAAGATTTTTGCGTCCCCTTTCACAAAAAAACAACAAAAAACTAGCAAGTTGGCCAAAAATGCAGCCCTTTAATAAAGGGAAAAAAGTGCCACCAGGGGCAGACAGCCCCACCTCCTCACCCCCTTTATATGCCAATGAAGTGTGCTGTAAGTGTAAGGAAATTAATTTATTCTTTAATATATGAACACAATCTCACAACTTCAGAATTAAGTTGTGAGAGAAATATTTGATGATTTAAATATATATAAATTAAATGCATTGAAATTTAGTGGCACACTGGGATAGGTGTCGCTAGGCACTGAATTGTAACTGCAAGCTAACACAGGAGAAAAACTGATTAAAAAATAAGATCATATTCACCTGTAAGAATATTTCAATATATAAAATATAACTGTAACTAAACTGTGTGTCAAGAAACAGTTAATTTCAATGTGGGGACCTAAATATGCATAACTTAAGCATCAAATCAATGTATAGTCAAGCGTAGTCATATGACCATCACCAACTGCCTTCATTAAGTCAAAGTACCAAACTCCAAGCCTAGTTAAATAACACTAGCATGGGAGATTGGAGAGGGGGGCATATATAATCTATTCATGTTAATATATAATATATTGACAACTATTAGCGGGTTTGGATTTTCTACATGTTGCAGAGATTTTTCAAGGGGAGTGAGGGGGGGGGGTGGGGGGAGGGGGTAGTAAAAATAATATCCTACCCTGCTGGGCAGAACCCACCATAGCTTAACCACTGTCTAATAATACTAATATTATTATAATTAATGTATATTACTGAGACTTTATGTCAATTGATGTCAATCATTGTGATGAAATACAAATGGTGTTTAAGGATGCCTGGCTCTGTCAACCTAACTTAACATGTAGCCTAGCCAAGTACTAGACCAGAGCAGTGGGGGGTGCAGGGGTATGGACAACTCCAGGTCACACCCTCCCAGGGAAGGGGTGGGGTGACAGCAAATGGAAAACACAACTTTGACAAAGTTTGCTGAGTTGGTTTCATAAAAGAATTAAGTTAAATACAAAAACAGGGTGGGGAGGGAGGAGTGGGTGTGACCACTAGATTACAGCACCAGGTGACACCAAGCCTAGTGAGGCCTCTGGACAAGGGTCAGGGTAGGCCTCATTAATAAACAGATGAAAATAGCACTTATTTAACTTATTATTGATAATGTGAATGTGATTTGTCTACTAGGGTCAGGGTAGGCCTCATTAATAAACAGATGAGAATAGCACTTTTTTAGCTTATTATTGATTATATGATTTGTCTAAGTCTGTATAAAAAAAAACTGTCTACAACAAGTCTTAGTCATTTAATACATTTTGAGGTGATTTTTTAGCAGGTTAGCCTACGAAATTATTAAAATCTAATTTAAAAAATTGTAACTGTAAGGTAAGTTTATCTGTAGTATATAGTAATTATATTCTATAAAATAATCTAATGACTAGTAAAAAGTCATAATTTAAAAAAAAAAAATCAAAATACCCATCCATTTGCTATTATTTAGTAAATAATTTACTATTACTATTACTAATTAGTATTAGTATTACTATTACTATTACTTAGACTTAGAATTACTACGAGAATACTTACTTTTTACTTTTTACGTTCAAGCAATATCCACTGACACTGGCTATTTCAAGGAACTGAGCACAAATTATTGTTTAGTTTATCACACATAAAATTACTCATTAAAATAATGTAGACTGTTATTAAACTTATGTTTGAATAACATTCCATAAAGTCATTTGTTTAGTCTTAGTTATTTACCAGAAAGAACTATTTTAATATTGTCGATTACAAATTCTAGCTAAAATATAAAAGAAGACTTGAAAATGACCGAAAGAAACTGTAGTTTAAAATATAAAATGAATTTTTTCGAAGACGATATAGTCTCAAATCCTATCATATGGTGGGTTGTAATAAAATAGACTAATAGTATGAAATAACAAGTTTTTTTAATAGAAATATTCTGATAACCTCTCTTGCTTGTCTCTGCCTCCCTGGGCGTTAAAAATACTAAAGACTATTGTCATCAGTATTAGTATTAAGTATTGTGCTTTAAAAAGTACCAGGTGACCTGGACAGCTAATTCCATCTTTATTATAAATTATGTCACAGGGGACAATAAAATGCCAAACATATTAAGCACATTCCTTGAATATTTATTATGCACAATTTCAGGAAGTAGGACCCTATACATTTACATAATCAATTTCTAAATTTAATGTTTGTTTTCTTTATTTATATAATAAAGTCACTGATTTTAAAGTACATCATGTTTTATAAAGGGAGTTAACTTTAAAAAAACATTGAGCTCATTGAGTTTTATCCCTTGGCTCATTTTTTTTTCACATTTGACATACCTTTCCTTAACATTCAACAAAATAAACTGCACAAACTCTATTGATGCCATATACAAAGTATTTCATTAAGTCACAATTCAACATATATCGTACTATGTGTTCATCAAATGGGTGTAAAATCAAGATTGTGTATCTTAACTCTTAATTAATCTTGGTTTGTTTGTGTGCTGTTTTTTAATTTTAAAATACTATTTTTTTTGTAAAGAAATGTCTTCCCGTTTCTTATTTTTAGGCGCTGTTATTTAAATTATTTTTTGAGCAGTTTCACGCTTGTGACGGACTATAACGTACTGAGACAAAATATTTTATTTTCATCCATTTAATTGACTGGAGTGGTCACAGCATGCATCTTGGACTTTGTAATTCTATGCCATGGTGATTCAAGTGTATTCATATAGGCACTGATTTGAATTCTGGTGGCATCGGTTGCCGAGGTTACCGCAAATGTAGGCCTATTCACGAAGCTACTGGTAGTAGCTTGGGAATTTTTTTTTTCTGATAATAAATATCGATGTAACACAGGGGCGTGGGGAAGGGGGTGCGGAGGGGACGGTCCACCCCAGGCGGCATTTCCCCCCCTTTATATTGAGGGGCGGCATTTTCAGCCTACTGTAGACAGGAAAGTCACTTGGGTGGGGCAGGGTGTGCCCCCCCCCCGCCCCCTGAAATTGCAGGTTTTATTTAAATTGCTATGTACTGTGGCGCCTCCAGTAATAAACAACTTAACAAGCCGACAAAGTTTTGGTTTTTGCCCCCCTCCCCCAACTCCCTGAATTGACGCCCCTGACTGCAGGTGTTTTACTTTTTTTTTCTTGGGAAAATGCCGACACAAAACTTTGTCCAGCTGGTTGCCATAACCCTAGCTACGCCACTTAGTGTGTCTCTTCGTCGGGCAGTCATATTTTGTACAAATTTATAAATTTCTGGGTCTTTGGGTAAAGTTAATTAAATTTCAAAGACTTGCGCCAAACAGCACCATCGCCCGCTTTTCCCCAGTATTTAATTTCCAGAGGTTGGTGACCTTGACCTCACCAGCTCATTAAAGATGTTTTCAGAAAGCAGTGAGATTTTTTACACCGACCCCGAAGCGATCCAGCGCCACCACTGCCATTACAAAACTGCTTGAGAATCGTTGAAAGAATGGCTGCCCAATGCTGGGGGGTGGTGGGGGAAGGGGGGCACTAGGAACTGTCAGGTAAAACAGAGGCAGTGAACAAAGACAAATTACCCGCGCACGGCCCTTCAACACATGCCAAGGTAGAGCCAGGCAAGGCCCCGTCTACGCTGTTGTTGTCATCAACAGAACAAAATATACGCTGTTAGGACATCATCATGATGACAGTCATTGCACTTTGTCTAGTCATTGGCTACCTAAAACATACGGATATATATGCTGCAGGTGAATATTTAAACTTTAAAAAAAAAAAAAAAAAAAAAATTTTTAAAAAAAAAATAAAAAAAAAAAAATAAAAAAATAAAAAAAGAGAGAGGAAAAAATTTATTAAAAAAAAAAAACTTTGTCTAGTAATTGGCTACCAAAAACATACGGAAATATATGCTGCAGGTGAATAATTAAACTTTAAAAAAAAAAAAAAAAAAAATAATTTTTAAAAAAGCAATTAAGATGAAACATTTATAGATTGAAAAGTGGAGATGCAACAATTTCATTAAAAAAAAATAATACAAATTTAATTTTTAAAAAAGCAATTAAGATGAAACATTTATAGATTGAAAAGTGGAGATGCAACAATTTCATTAAAAAAAAATAAATTATGAACTTGTTTCGGATTTTGCTCATAACTTTTCATAAACACTCTGGAGAAAAGGCAAATAAAAGATGAAGTAGGCCTATTATATAAACTTCAGCATCAGACAGAGTAGCTATTTCACGTGTTGATGATTCAAACGTAAAATCTCTCGGATTTACTCATGAACATAATGAAGACAAACAATTGCTCTTTTAGATCTAAAAGTGAAGTAAACAACGCTTTAAACACTGACACACGAATGGTTTTCTTGCGTTTTCAATAATGTTTTACAATGTGTGGTCAATCTGCGGACAGATTATGAAAAGACTTAGCGGGATTGTGGTCAATCTGCGGACAGATTATGAAAAGACTTAGCGGGATTGTGGTCAATCTGCGGACAGATTATGAAAAGACTTAGCGGGGTTAAACCGTTTTTTTTCTTAAACGAGCACCGGCTTCCTCTTGTGCTGTGGTAAATTATCCAGTAAACTAATCCAAGGATAAGTAGCCACGTCAGAACTAAAGCAGGGACGTTCGGTTGCTAGTATCTCAATTTAAGTAAATGATAATTTAAGGTTTTATATTTTTTCCCAATTTTGAAAATGGGGGGGGGGGGGGGGAGGTGGGGGGTAGGCTTTGAGTTTAGGGATCATGGTAAGATAAGACATTAGTAAATTGTAGAAGTTTTTATTTCCTGAGGATTTCTTCCAGGATGTGTAACTTAGTTTATAAGACACAGACTTAACCAAGGTCGGCCAACAAATTAGTTAATAAGACACAGACTAAACCGAGGTCGGCCAACAAATTAGTTTATAAGACACAGACTTAACCAAGGTCGGCCAACAAATTAGTTTGTAAGACACAGACTTAACCAAGGTCGGCCAACAAATTAGTTTGTAAGACACAGACTTAACCAAGGTCGGCCAACAAATTAGTTTATAAGACACAGACTAAATCGAGTCAGCCAACAATTTAGTTTATAAGACACAGACTAAATCGAGTCAGCCAACAATTTAGTTTATAAGACACAGACTAAACCGAGGTCAGCCAACAAATTAGTTTATAAGACACAGACTAAACCGAGGTCAGCCAACAAATTAGTTTATAAGACACAGACTAAGCCGAGGTCAGCCAACAAATTAGTTTATAAGACACAGACTAAGCCAAGTTCGGTCAGCAAATTAGTTTATAAGACACAGACTAAGCCAAGTTCGGCCACTCTAAGCCAGTGGTTCTCAACCCTCCGGATGCCGCGACCCTTTAATATAGTTCCCCATGTTTTGGTGACCCTCCAACCCTAAAAATATTTTCGTTGCTACTCCATAATTGTACAGTATATGTTTATTTTTCTGATGGTCTTAGGTGACCCCTGTGCAAGGGTCGTTCAACACACCCCCCCCCCCCAGCCCTCAAGGGGTCGCGACCCACAGGTTGAGAACTGCTGCTCTAAGCGGACGCAGAACATTTTTTCTTTGTTTTCCGCAAGATTTGTTTATGGTTAAGTAACTACCGTACCAATAAACATGACAATGACCTTTGAAAATGTCTCTCTATTAATTATATTTTCATGTGACATGAACCCTTCTGGGCTCTCGGTTGGGAACTTCTGACATCTCACGGTTTGTTTTTTTTTTCGCCATAAAGTTTATCGAATAAGTTTTCGTTTAAAAAAAAACAACCAAAAAAATAACATAAATAACACACAAATAACGTGAAGCCTTTCCTTACCCCCAAACCCGAAAGAGCTCTTTAGCGGCAGCGATAAAAACCCAAGGTTTGGAAACACTAACTTCCCATTACCCATACTTAAAAATCTTTCTGACAGTTCAATTTGATTTCATCAAAACGCAGAGCGAAGTAAAGCTAAGTTAAGCATTAGCAGAAATACATCACTGCAATTTAAATTTATTAAGAAGGGTTCTGTTGAGGGGCACACTGAGCGCCCCCCCCCCACCAACTTCATCCCACTTCTACTTGGGAGTCTTCAGCGCTCTCGATATCGGCAAGTATTTATCTATTAACCTAAATATTTAAATAAGTAGGTTTATAGTGTTATTGGTCATCTAAACCAGTGGTTCCCAAACGTTTAAGTTTGGCGGACCGGTGAGCAAGTTTCGAAATTTTAACCAGGGACCGGTGCATGATTTATTTTTATACTTTTATTTCTATTTGACAATAAATATTTATGTTATGGGGACCGGCAGCGTTATGCATGTGGACCGGTGAAGGTCCACGGACTGCCATTTGAGGACCACTGATCTAAATCCTCGAGAGGTGCACTCGACCCCCCCCCCCCCCCATCTCTCGTGGCCAAAGTTGATTTTATGCGAACTGCTGTTTAGCGTTTATTTTGGAGGGTGGGGGAGGGGGCAGCAAATTCAAGAGCCGCCATGGGCTGCACAATATAGCTACTTCACTGTGTGTATAGTTTTTCCATAACATTACTTGAATATTTCAGAGAGACATACGGTAGGGGCCCGAGGCCATTATTTTGCCCAGGGGCCCCCGTTGCTGTTAAGACCGCCCTGAGCCACTAAGGTCTGATTGTAGCTATCAATTCTCAAATGTCTCCTTTCAATTATGTTACACCAGCTCAAGAATTCGACGGTGGCAATGTTACAGAGGCCAACTACTACGCTATGGTAGCTTCATGTGAGTAAGTACATGTTTTAAGTAGAATATAGCTATCTAATCAAAGTGGTTTAAGTACATAGTCACGAGGCACAGTCGATTACAATTACATGATTTATTTAAATTACTAATTATTCGTAGCCGATACCATTTTACGATGCATAATTAATGCGTAAGCGGAAAAATACTTTGTAAAGTAAATAACTTTATTTATTTATCGACAACTGTTAAAGATAATTAATTACACTATAGGGTCTACTCTTTTTCGAATATTTTAAATTGCTTTCAGCTGAATACAGCGCCGATGGGGTAGTACCAGTGGCACCCTTCGGGTACAGACCAGGGGTGGCGACCAGCACCAACAGCTGCCAGTTTGTAAGGGGGGTACCCAACAATTTACGGAGCCACAGTGAAATGAAGCCGGCTGGCCTGAGCATGTTCTACCAGAAGTACACGGAGGCCTATGGAATACCTGTAGTCTGTATGTAGTATATAAGAACATAAGGATATGCTTACCTGTAGTCTGTATGCAATATACAATATACACGAACATAAGGATATGGTTACCTGTAGTATGTATGTAGTAAACAAGAGCATAAGGATATGCTTATACCTGTAGTATATATGTAGTACGCAAGAACATAAGGATATGCTTACCTGTAGTCTGTATGTAGTAAACAAGACCATAAGGATATGCTTACCTGAAGTCTGTATGTAGCATTCAAGAACATAAGGCTATACTTAACTGTAGTCTGTATGTAGCATGCAAGAACATAAGGATATGCCTACCTGTAGTCTGTATGTAATGGTTACCGGAAATTTGATCGAAAGAAATTTCGTCGACGGTAAATTGATCGACGGAAATTTAATCGAATAAAAATTTGGTCGAATCTTTTTTTTTCAGTTCACACGTTCATATTTTCGTTAAATTTCTTTTTGATCGAACTATACTATAAAGTAAAACAAAATAATGATTTCAAAAAGATATTTGAAGCAACATTTTAACGTAAAAACTGAAAAAAGTTTCGACCGAATTTCCGTTCGATCAATTTACCGTCGACGAAATTTCTTTCGATCAAATTTCCGGACACGGTATGTCATACATCAAACTTAGTGATACCTGTTGTCTGTATGTCATATAAAGCAGATGGGTACACAAAAAGTGTAGCGTACAACGCACAGGAATACCTGTAGTATGTGTCACCATATGTGGCATCCTTCCGTCTTCGTGAGACGATGGAGTAGCTAATGTAGTATGTAGTCCTACACTTGGACAGCTGCCAGTTTGTAAGGGGGGTACCCACGAATTTACGGAGCCACAGCCACAGTGAAATGAAGCCGGCTGACCTGAGCATGTTCTACCAGAAGTACACGGAGGGCTATGGAATGTATGTGTCATTATATATAAATATTATGAATACATGTAGTCCTGTAATGTAATATACAGCACACAGTGACAGCTGTAGGATGCACCTGCATGACGGTGTGCAATTCTGACGCATGAATTCTGTTTATTAAATTTAATTCTTTGTTCCGTCTCACCAGCCAGCATGTACGTACCAGATGACGCGTTACGACGCGCGTGTTACACCCTGCGCTTCCTGCTGGCCGGTCACGCGGTGGTCAGGCAATCGTTCTACATTTTGTCCGGACGAGTTGCCGTGCTCAGCAGGTATGAGGGGACGACGTCCATTCCAGAACACAGCAATCTCCCCGCCTGGTGGAACATCCGGGCACGCGGGCTGGGGGCAACGACTCACGCCCCCGTGTCTTCAAGTGGGGAGGAGAATATTCTGTGCAGCGAGTGAGGCTTTCTTATAAATATTTATATCCTAATACCTGCCAATCAAGACTCTCGTATATCCTAATACCTGTCAATCAAGACTCTCGTATATCCTAATACCTGCCAATCAAGACTCTCGTATATCCTAATACCTGCCAATCAAGACTCTCGTATATCCTAATACCTGTCAATCAAGACTCTCGTATATCCTAATACCTGTCAATCAAGACTCTCGTATATCCTAATACCTGTCAATCAAGACTCTCGTATATCCTAATACCTGTCAATCAAGACTCTCGTATATCCTAATACCTGTCAATCAAGACTCTCGTATATCCTAATACCTGTCAATCAAGACTCTCGTATATCCTAATACCTGTCAATCAAGACTCTCGTATATCCTAATACCTGCCAATCAAGACTCTCGTATATCCTAATACCTGCCAATCAAGACTCTCGTATATCCTAATACCTGTCAATCAAGACTCTCGTATATCCTAATACCTGTCAATCAAGACTCTCGTATATCCTAATACCTGTCAATCAAGACTTTCTTATATCCTAATATCAAGACTTCCTAATATCTGTCAATCAAGACGGTCTTATCTCCTGTCTATCAAGACGTTCTATCTCCATGTATCTGTCAATCAAGACTTTCTTATATCCTAATATCTGTCATTTAAGGCTTTTATTCTCTCCTTGAAGCTGTCCATCAATCATTTTCTTATCTACTTTTATCTGCCAATCAAGACTCTCTATAGACTGGTTTTGTGTACAAACTATTTTTAGGACTTGGCGTAAAAGTCATTTCATATCAACGGTTCAACAATTTAGTTTCCTCCTCAATGCATGTCCTCTAGTCCTCAATGCATGTCCTCTAGCCCTCAATGCATGTCCTCTAGCCCTCAATGCATGTCCTCTAGTCCTCAATGCATGTCCTCCAGTCCTCAATGCATGTCCTCTAGCCCTCAATGCATGTCCTCTAGTCCTCAATGCATGTCCTCTAGCCCTCAATGCATGTCCTCTAGTCCTCAATGCATGTCCTCTAGCCCTCAATGCATGTCCTCTAGTCCTCAATGCATGTCCTCAAAGCCTCACAACATGGTAGGGTCAAGTGTCTTCTTAAATTTTCACAGATAACTTAACATCATGAACTCGAATAATTTAGGTAGTCAGTAGGAAATAGGAACTCAAGGCGGATCTTTGAGGGGTTGTTGTTTTTTTTGAGTGCCTCAAATGCAACCCAAAAGCTTTTTGAGTGACAACCCAAATAGTAGATTTAGAAGGCCGCCTGTTGCCCATTTGAAATCTCCCAAGACTTATTAATAATGCTATTCATTAGGCCGAGTCCCTTTATTAGCTCCTTCTGCTTCCATGGGCCCACGTTCTGGAACCAGCTCCCCTTCCATATACGTCATAGTGAAACCTCGTCCATTTTCAAAAAGTCCCTTAAAACTCATCTGTTTAGGTCCGCCTATGACCTGTGATGCACCCTCCTTGCCCTGCCTCATTTTCTGTTTAGGGTTGATCCTGAAGTGTCAAAGTGTCCTCGTTTTATAGCCATTTTCATTGTTTCTATAGTATAGTAGTTACTATCCTAGTGTCTCATTTTTATTTACTTAGTTTACATGTTTTAATAATTGTAAAGCGCTTAGAGCTTTATGATAAGCGCTATATAAAAATGCCTAAATAAATAAATAAATAAATAAATACAGTGAAGCCCTCACACTAAAGTTACACCTTAACTCCCCCTATCTGCCATCCATCTCCTCCCCAGCAACGACTGGTACAGGGAGCAAGACATTTTTCTGCACGAGGCGTCACACGGAGTTCACCTATTGGGTAAACAAGTCAATGATTGCATAGGAATAGCATTACATTATCTTTAAATTTGGCCTAGAATTTCCGCGCAGCATACCGCCAAGATTAACACGTACACCGCTCTCATGTCAATTGTCTATACAGGCGCCGTGTTTGCCATCCCTGGTTGGGACCAGAGACTTAGAAGGCTGTTCAACGAATCCAAGTCTCGTGGCCTGTGGGCAAACACGTACAGCATGGCGTCACCTGAGGAATATTTTGTAAGTAATGCTAAATAAAAAAAAGAAAAAGAAGACCAAAAACAATAACTAATTTATCAAATCTTTAAATATTAATCACACAATTTTTGCCAAATCACTTCTATTATAAGTCTGTAACACCCCTCTCCCCCCCCCCCCCCCCCCCCCCCCCCCTCCCCCGCAACCGTTTAGGCGGAAGGTACGCAGAGCTACTTTAACGTGAATTCCTACGTGCCTGTCCCGGACGGCGTGCGTGGCCCAATCAACGACCGGAACAAGCTGATGACCTACGACCCCCAGCTGTACAGCATGATCAGAGAGATCTTCCCTTGTGATAATGTCTATCTCAAACGGTGCTTTACAAGCAGAGGTGATTATCGGAGTCATTTCGTTATTCTTTACGTTTTCTTCATTTGTTTCCCATAAAATAGGCCATTATTAAGTACTGATCTCTACACTATTTAAAAAAAAAAAAAAGATTTTTTTTTTTTTAAATACTAAGTTTTTTGGAAAAAATGCTAGTCTACTTTTATATTCAAATTTAGAAGAAAAAAAAATTCCCCTTCCATTTAATTTAAATTGATTTATCATTTTTGGGAAAAAAATTTTTTTTTTTTTTTTTTAAATTTTGCCTTCACAATACATTTTTTTTTTTTTTACTGCTATGGCTTTGTTGAGAAAGTAAAGCCGTAAAACAAAACACAACTTTTATAACGGTGGTTAAACCGTATTATCTATCGTGAATCTTTGATCACCAACAAGTATTTATAGAACAAGGGTTGTTGGGGTAAGGTAGTATACCCGAAAATTCAACACAACATGTTGGCAACGGGAACGCGTCTAAGCGCCAAGTTTCAGCTCAATGGGATGACGGGAAAAGGGTCAGTTAGCTTTCTGAAAATATTTTGCTCAAAGAAACACATAACCAATCGAACGAAGGATTTAAAATGCTTAAATATGTTTTTTTTTAAATAAAAAAAAAACTTTCTATCAAAGACAAGTTATGAACGCACCTAAAAGTGAATTGATTTACATTTCTCAATAAATGCCTTACACAGTAAGACTGTCCAGAAGTGTAGATGAGCGCTCTATGTAGGCAAAGGATTTGAACTGAATACAGACAAAAGCTAAATGTTTTATTGTTATTTATTTTTTAAAAATAATTCTGCACAGACTTTCTTCTTTTGTTTCGTTTACACAGTGCTATTAAATTATCACCCATGATATCTATACAGTGCTATTAAATTATCATCTATGATATCTACACAGTGCTAGAAGAAAAACATAAATAAATCAATATGTGTTTTACTTATATCACCACTTGACAGTACAGGAAGACAGACAAGTTCTTCAAATGGACTGTGACCAGACAGCACCCGTGGGCCCTGGTAAGTGAATACATTGGATGGTGAAGTATGCTGGGTTATGTGTGCGTTTGTTCCCCTGTAGTCTATAACATTGGAGGGAAATGGTGTTTGAGTTTGGGGGGGAGGGGGGCTGTCTTGATCGGCATTATTTAACTTAACTTACTCTGAAGCTGGCCGACCATTTTCTCACATTTCCCCGACGTCACAATGTGACGATGGTGAGGATTTCGCGGGAGCATCCTTCTAGGATTATAAGCAAAATCACCCCTCCCCTTTGGATAACCCAAGGGAACATCATGTGGATGATACAGCTCGGCACCAGCGGCGTCGCAGGAGTTGTCGGAATGTTTCATTGTACCAGTGTTATCCGCCCACGGGACTCCATCTCCAGGTTTGAACTCAGAGTTTCCTTCTCTTGAATGAGTTGCCGTCCAAGGTTGACGAGTCCCATCCACCCGGGGTGCTGGTGATATTTTTAGATTGACTGTGCTTTTTGCTGGAATGGAACTCTAGAACATTCGGCCACCCAGCACCCATTTTCCCCATCTGAACTTGTGAGAACATGATTGTGATTGAAGCATTCTACCGCAGCCAACACAAAAATGAGAAGAAAAAAAAATAATCTTAGATACCCCCCGCCCCCCACACCAAAAAAAGTAAACAAATAAAATATTACGCTTGACATCCCTTGTGTTAGATTGAGATACTGCGTTGCGTCCTTGTACCTAAGTATGAAGTGATTCTTGACATCCCTTGTGTTAGATTGAGATACTGCGTTGCGTGCTTGTACCTAAGTATGAAGTGATTCTTGACATCCCTTGTGTTAGATTGAGATACTGCGTTGCGT